TTTTTCAAAGATAAGACAGTTTTAGACATCGGTTGCGGAACCGGAATACTCAGTCTTTTCGCAGCCAAAGCCGGCGCCAGACTTGTTGTGGCCGTCGATCAAAGCGAAGCAATATATAAGGCAATGGATATTGCGATCGAAAACGGCATGAATTCAAAGATTAAATTCATTAAAGATAAGTTAGAGTCTGTGGTCTGGGAATCACACGGTTTGCCGCAGAAGTACGATATTATTATCTCTGAATGGATGGGATATTTCCTGTTGTTTGAAGGAATGCTAGATTCAGTCCTTTACGCCCGAAACACATGTCTCAACGATTCCGGCGCTCTTTTGCCTAACAGAACCTCTCTATCGATTGCTGGCATTAATGACATTGAATTACAGAATCGATACATTGATTTTTGGGATAATGTCTACGATTTTAAAATGTCTTCAATGAAGAGTGAAGTGATCAAAGATGCCTTAATTGAGAGCATTTCTTCCGATGTGATCGCAACGAGTGTTTGTGTCGTCAAAAAGTTTGATTTAATGCAATGCCTTCTGGAAGAGACGCAACACTTCGAGACTGATTTCCAATTGGTTTCTCAAAGTGATGGCAATATTATTGCAATTATCGGATGGTTTGACTGTAACTTTGATTTGGAAGCGTTGGAACATAAGGTGATTCTCTCGACTTCGCCTTTCAGTGAAAGCACTCATTGGAAACAAACGGTTTTTCTCCTCAAAAAGCCTATTATCACAAAAATAGGCGATAAAATCGACGGCAAAATCAAAGTTTATCGAAATAAAAAAGAGTTGCGTTCACTTGTCGTTCACATCGATATCAATGGTTGTGATAAACAAACATTTTATTTGTCATAAAATTAAATGCAGATATTATTTGAAAATAAAACATTTTAAATTACAATAAATAAAAACTGGATTTATAATAATAAACAATAGTTTATTGTGAAAACCATTTAACTTTCTTAGCCCGTGGTTTCGAGTCATTCTTCTGGTTGTTATCATCTTTGAAAATGTTTTTCCTTTTCATATAATGCCTGTCGTGTGTGTCTTGTATTTCAATCGTCTCTTTTTTTC